TTCCCACTGCCTCTGACACGGGGGGAGGGGAGGGAGTGCACAGTCGATCGAATTAACCGATAAGGCAGGCCTCTCGGGTAACCGTTTAGACGACTGTGCCCTAACGTCTGTTTTGGGCCTGGCCAGGGTAACACCAGGGCTTTCAAAACAGGCGTCCGCTCCGCTCACAAGGGAAGAAACTAAAACCCAACAGGACAGGAAGCACCTTGTCCCGCTCTCCCTGGCGGCCTCACGCTTAATAGTGTGGAGGCTTCCTCGGGAGGCCTGGGATCCTCCCACAGCCGGACACACCGAGAACGGGGGTCACTGAAGACAGGTGGAAAAAAAAAACCCTGTCCCTGGGCTTCCCGGCCGGACTAGGACCCTGCGCTGCGCCTGGGGGCCAAGTCAGTCGCTAGGCCCAGTTAGGGAGAGGAGGCGCCTGGGCAGCCCACAGCACCAGGGAGCTGAGAGCTGGCCGAGAGGGCGACATAAGGGCTCTCGAATGGAGACAGGCACCCGCCCAGGGCACGGCCGGGGCCGCTGCAGGCTGACACGGGGCAGCGACTGCACAGTCAGTCCCCACTACCAAGTGGCTCATGGCTCGTTCAGCCGTCGTGTTCACGCCCTGACCTCTTTCACGGCAGCACGCAGCTGCTGCAGGGCGCTCTCCCTTCGCACGGCCTCCTCCTTCAGAGCCTGGCTTGTCCCCTCCTCCTGAGACACCTGCTCTCCCAGGCTCTGGAACAGACAACAGGGGAGAGGTTTGTCCGACAGGCCCCATGAGCGACGCTCTAGAGTCCCCAGCGATCTCACTTCTCACCTTCACTTGTGACGACAACTGCTCCATCTTCTTCTGCTGCTTGTCCACAATCTGAAACCAAAAGCACAGGCCCCTGAGCGCACAGCCACCCCGCGTGGGAATCCTCCTTCGAGCCAGCAGCTGCAGATCTGGTTGTAAGCGCTTTAGATTACAGCCTGGCTTGGAAAGGGCTCAGACTGCCTGCCAGAAGGTGCCAGCAGGAAGCACAATTAGGCACTAGGGGTGTGTCTAAACGACATGGTTCCGTCGATGGAGACATATAGATGAGGCTGATCGGCAAAGGGAAATGAAGCTGCGATTTACACATAGATGAGGCTGATCGGCAAAGGGAAATGAAGCTGCGATTTAAATAATCGCGGCTTCATTTAAATTTAAATGGCTGCCGTGCTGAGCCAACAAACAGCTCAGCGCAGCAGCCATTATTTAAATCGCAGCTTCATTTCCCTTTGCCGAACAAACAAATCTACATGGCGCCATGCAGTCCCGACGTACCCTAGGAGTGGCGAGACAGCTGTTTGTGGCCTCCCCCTCCCTACCTGCTTTCACTTTCCTGTCACGTTGATGTTTACGTGAGCGCTACAGCAGTGTCTAGTTATCCGGCGTGGCGCGCTCACACTGCGAGCGCAGGGCCCATGGGCCGGTACAGGATGCAGGGTAGGGGCTCAGTTCATATTTCATTTCAGTGCCTGGGAGGAGCAGCGGAGGGAAGGCGACAGGAACGGGCGTTAGCGAGGGGCAGGCTCACCCTGTGGAGAGTTACCTTCCGGAGGCGATCACAGTCTCTCTGCAGAGAAGCATTTTCTGGTTTCTGTTTCTCCACTTCCAGGACAGGGGACCCTCCGCCTGAGCGCTTCACACACTGCTTCAGCCTCTCCTGCAAGCTAAGATCCCCAGTGCATCAAACGGGCTGGCAAGGAGGAGCAATGTCCTGGAATCTGGGGGTCGGTCGGTCTGTCTCACTCACCCCCCCCTTTTCCCTCGGCCCTGTCAATATCCCCCATGCAGTGATTTAGGTCTAAGGAACAGAGGGGGCAAATCAGCCCAGGACCAGGCAGCCACAGCGGGAAGCCCTACGGAAGCCCGGGTGATACAGACCCGTGTCCAATGGAGACGGCTCCGAGCCCAGAGCCAGTTTCACAGCGCCCTGCGTGGAGCAGAAAGCCACAAGCGACGGCAATTCCGTGTTCTCTAGACGTTCCGTTCCCCGCACCCAGAGCCTCGCTTCAATCCCAGCTCGTACCAGCGCTGCCCTGCAGAGGCGCTCTAGCCTGGCCCACCGCTCAGTGCCGGACATCCCGGAGCTCTCAGCCCCCGCCGGGCAGAGCTCAGACTCCCTCCCCCTCCCCGAGCGTTACCTGTGCACAGTGGAGAGCAACTCCAGTTCTTTGCGGTTCTGGGTTTCTAGCTGCGCCTCCTGCTCTCTGCAGGCAGCACGCACATCTCCCAGCTCCCTGCGCAGGGCCGCCACCGCCTCCTGCAGCACCGAACTCGTCTGCTCCGACTCCTTTAACTGGGGCAGAGAACACTGCTCAGCGCTCAGACGTCTGAGCGCCGCTGCCACGGGCCACAGGAGGCCACACTAGTGCCCACGGGGATTTTTACCATCGGGGCACTTTACAGCCATCGCTGGGAAGGACAGACTGCAGCGCTGCCGGCAGGGGTGGATACACACTGGCAGCAGGAAACTGCCCAGTGCCTCAGACTCAGCAGTACACGCAGGGCACCCTTTTACCTGCTGACTCTGTTTCTGATGGTCTTCTAGTGTTGGCAAGTCAGCCAGGTAGCGCTCCAGCGTCTCAATTCTCTGCTGTCTCTCCTGGCTTTGCTCCGACTCCTTTTGGCATTTCTTTTTCAGGCTGTTAATGTGTCTGTCTCGTCCCTTTATCTGCACGAAGAGACAGTCAAAGGGTCGACTGGCTTAGAATCGCCGCGTGCGTGTCCCTCTCCAGCCTGCCTGGCTAAGCATTTAGGCAGCCCCCACGGCGGCAGCTCTTCCGTTCACTGCTACCTGAAAGCGAACCCCGTCCATCTGAAGGTGTGTGCCAGGTGTCTGCGCCGCACTGAGACCGACCCACCCTCCGAGCTCACGTGCGGAGCAGACCCTGTACTCAAACACTGGCTGAGCGAATACTTCTGGAATTCGTTAGCAAGTGCTTCCCCTCTCCGCACCTTACGATGCTGCACTTAATTAAACAGTTAAAAATATGAAACAGAAGAAGAACTGAAGCCAGGCGTAGTGTTGTCATTAAATACACACACACCGGTTAACACAGCACTAAGATTCTGCGGCGTGCCTACACATTGCAACGCTGGTTTCCACCTGCCTCTGGGCTCTCCTCAAATAACCAGCGAGCTTTGAGAAAATGCCACTTCACTGAACAAAGCCTCTAATGTGGCAACCTAAGCCACATCTCCACTTGCCGCACTGGAGATCTATCTTCTGGCATTCGATTTAATGGGTCTACTTAAGACCCACTAAATCAAACGCTGAGGGCAGCTCCAGTCGGTGCCGATACTCCTCAGTCACAAGGAGTAAGGGAAGCTGCTCCAAGCTCGGCTAAAGGAAAGCCAACTCCAGCTACATCTTTTACACAGCTGGAGTCGTGTTCCTTCCCTGACCCTCCAGGTCTAGGGCAGACCTGGCCTTAGGAAAGCTTCCTCCTTTAGGCCAGCCCAAGAGTTTTCCAGAAGCCACTCACCACAAACTGCAGTCACAGGTCAGAACTGCAAAGACATTTACCGGGAACGAGGGCTGGGAGGACCAGGAGCAGCTCCCCCCCCACACAGGCAGTTCAGCACTAAGACAAGTAGGTGACTGTTTAGCCTCAAGACCTTCCATTAAGCCAAGAATCACTGCTCTTGACTAAACCCTCTGGGCATGTGCCAGGAGTGAGCCGTGCGATCCCGCCGCACAACTACAGCCCCGGTGGCTACATTTACCGGGAACGAGGGCTGGGAGGACCAGGAGCAGCTCCCCCCCCACACAGGCAGTTCAGCACTAAGACAAGTAGGTGACTGTTTAGCCTCAAGACCTTCCATTAAGCCAAGAATCACTGCTCTTGACTAAACCCTCTGGGCATGTGCCAGGAGTGAGCCGTGCGATCCCGCCGCACAACTACAGCCCCGGTGGCTCGCGGGCCGCAAGAGAAGAGCAGCCCCAAGCCAGTCCCACACAACAGATGGTGGCCCCAGGAAAGACTCCCGCGGCCAAGGCCGACGCC